CACCAACACCACGCAATAGAAACAACTTTGTATGAAAACCCCTAAAAGCAATAACAGCATATAGAGCTCAGCTGAGTTTGAGGATTTAAGTACAATTAACTTAAAAACCAAGTATAATTAGAGACACACAATATAAAGGAAAACCTTTACTGTAAGTCAGTTAAGATTAAAATATGTGGAAAAACACTCAAAGATAAAAATATAACTAATTACATTAATGCAAATTTGTCTAAGCAATTTATAAAACATACCGCATTCTTGTGACTTGTGGTTGAAAACTAATCTTTAATTAGAACACCAAGGCTGAATACCTATTAGTACTGACTCCCATTCATTTTTTCATTAGTAAAATGAAAGACCATGATTTAAGTAAAATCTCTCTTGGCTCTAATAAATAATTATCAGGTGTAGTGTGAGATTCTGTCAAATGTATATTTTCTGCAACAGACAGCAAAATATTTGCATGAGTTTTTCCAATTGCTTTAGTTTCTTAGAAGACACTACTTAGTCACACAGAATCCAATCAAATGAATAAATAATACAGGAATAGAAAAGGAACAGTATCTCCATTTGGGAAAATTTTAATTTTCTAAGGTAAGCATATCTTAATGAAACACATTTTATTATCAAGGACATGTGCAAAAATACAGGACTCAAATATTCTAACACTATGTGTGTGTGTATATATATATAATGTGCATATGTGTGTATATATATGTATGTTGTAGGAGTCCTGGTGTGGCACTGTAGAGTAAGTACTGGACTACTAACTGCAAGGTTGGTGGTTTAAACACACCAGCTGCTCCTCAGAAATCCTATACAGGGTCACTGAGTCAGAACTGATTCCATAGTACTTAACAACATATTTGCTAATAGGGGCAGCTCATAAGAAGTGAGCTTAATTATTTTTACATGAAAAAAAGTTATATTTAAAGAATTCCTTTCTATTGAAAAAAGTGTTTCCTATGTCTGTTAGCCATTTTAGAAAATAAGGCCTCATAATTATTTACAGTAACTTAAAAAAAATAGAAAATATAGAACCTTACTCAGAAATGGAATGCAATCTAATGAGAGAAACAAACTCTATATACAATTTGTTTTCATGCTAAAAAGTTAGACCTTTTATGTATTTTCCTGACTACAAATTTTTAAAAATTTGTTTTTAGATTTTTAGAAATCTTGGATTTTAATGGTTCTTATAGAATTTCAAATTCACACTTTTTGTGTTTTCATGGATCAATTCTACCATTACTTGGTGCGAATTAGCATATTTTCTAGCACACTTTGTCTCAAGTACTTTGGCCATGTTATCAGGAAGTACAAGTCCCTAGAGAAGGACATTATCCTTGTTGAGTCAGATAAAATGATGGAAGACTTTCAATGAGATGGACTGACACAGTGGCTGCAACAATGGGCTAAAAAACACAGCAGTAACTGTGAGGATGGTAAAGGACTGGCCAGTCGTTCATCTGTCTGTATGAGTTGCAACCAACTTGATGAACCTAAGAACAATATGCATATTTCTTGTAGAGGTAAAAAATAATCTATGAGAAGTTTGTGCCTTAGTTACTAGGGGGCTTCAAAAGTTTGTAAAAAGTGGAATTAAAAGATAATGGATAGTTTCCATTATCTTTTAATGGAAAAAAAAAAGTTTTTAAAGTGAACTTTTAAAAACTCCTTTATATTATCCCCCTCATTATTTACCAGAGAGGTCTTGGATCATTTATGAGATAAATTCAATCTCACTGAGCTTATCTCCTCTAAGAAAATTATGATAAGTAAGTAAGCAAGGAGCTATAGATAAAAGGTTTTCATATTCTTTTATTTATAGAATTTTTCTTTATTATGAACTTTTTTGTGTCTACAAAGGTTGGATCTGTAACTGTAGGCCTTTCCACATTCCATACATTTATAGAGTTTCTCTCCAGTATGGATTCTTTCATGTTCGGTTAGGAATGAATACTGGCTAAAAGCTTTTCCACACTGATTACACTGATAAGGTTTCTCTCCAGTATGGGTTCTCTGATGCCTATAAAGGTTGGATTTGCAACGAAAAGCTTTCCCACATTCCTCACATTTATAAAGTTTTTCCCCAGTGTGAATTTTCCGATGTTCATTGAAGGATGAATATTGATTGAAGGTTTTGCCACAGTCATTACACTGATAAGGCTTCTGTCCAGTATGAATTCGCTGATGTTCAATAAGAGTTGATATGCGTGTGAAGGTTCTCCCACATTCCATGCAGTTACATAGTTGTTCTCCAGTATGGAGTCTCTGATGTTCAGCAAGGGATGTAAACTGGCTGTAACCTTTTCCACATTCACTACATTTATAAGGTTTCTCACCTGTATGGATTCTTTGGTGCCTATGAAGTTTTGCTCTGCAATTAAAAGCCTTATCACATTCACCACATTTATAGAGTTTCTCTCCAGTATGAATTCTTTGATGTACAGTGAGGGTTGAACACTGGCTAAAGGATTTACCACATTCGCTACATTGATAGGGTTTCTCTCCAGTATGTACTCTCAGATGTTTGATAAGGGTTGAACTGCTACTAAATGATTTCTCACATTCGTTACATTTGTAAGGTTTCTCTCCAGTATGAATTCTCTGATGGGCAAGAAGAGATGACCTATGGCTGAAGGATTTCTCACACTCGTTACATCTGTAGGGTTTCTCACCAGCATGAATTCTCTGGTGTTCAAGATAGTGTTGACTATAGTTGAAACTCCTGCCATATTCACTAAAAATATGAGGTTTTACTCCTGGATAAATTTGGAAGCATTTCATTAGATCAAAATCTTGTTTAAAATATTTCCCAAAAGTATAATATGGACTGGGTATCCTTTCTATAGGAACACATTGTTGTCTAACAAGAATTGTATTTATAAACAAGTCTTTTCTCAGTTCAAGATTTTTATGTTTTCCATACCCACTGAAGGTTTTCTTGTAGGAGGCTACCATTTGCCTGAGATGTTTCTTTTGTTGTTCCTGTTCTAGCCTTCTATCAAAATTCAAAGTTTCACTAAACGTGGTGTTCCAATGACCATATTTAATGGCTTTTTTCATTACTATTTCCTGAGATGTTTCTTCTGTAAAAATGTCTTGGCTAGAAGGCAGTACTTCTATTTGAGGCTCCATCTTGACACCTGGAATGAATCAGAAGAATTAATGCCTACTCTTGTGAAAGAGTCAAAATGATGTATTAGAGGGACAATAAATTTGGAATCACAAAAGAAGTTTGATAAAACCTGATTTCAAAAAATGGACTTGAATCTGGAGCAAAACAGGATGGAATAATGGAAGTAGAAGTAAATAGGCTAAGTGAATGATGTAGGCGAACTCACTGGACAAATCAACAATAAAAATGAAACGAAGAAAAGTTAGACATAGAACAGGTTGAAATGATGCTATAAGGATACAGAAAAATGTCAGATGTTAAGGTCAAATTGAAATGTACACTTTCAACCCTAGTTTCAACTACTAAAGGGACATGGTAGAATAGAGATCACCACAATCTAAACCTCAAAGAGGGAGTTAAAGTATACCTATGGCAGATTCTTCATTACAGACAAACCCCCTTACCCAAAGAGACCATGAAGTAGAAGACAAAAGAACCACAAACTTTTATTCATTATATATTACATTCTGCATAGAGATTATAAAGGAAATGTGACTAAAGTGTACCTGTATTAGGAGAAATCAACTCCTAATGTGATAGACCAAGGAATGAAACAGATAAAGAGGGCATGCCCCTCCCCAGCGTTTTCCACCTGGCCGGCACATCAAGGAGGCCCCTGCCAGTGTCTCCTGAGTGTAGTCTCTTCACTGACCAGCACCCAGACCATCAGAATGCACGATGCCTATTTCACACTGTTCTGTCACTCACCTTGACAGGTGCCTGGAGGAGTTCCTTTTTCCATCATCCAGGGGTCTTCCCCTTGCTGTAACTGGGAGATGACTTTTGGTTTTGAAAATGGAATCCCTGTTTATGAACAAGAAAAAGAAACTACACAGGCTGCAGACATGAGTTGTCATGCTACCCTCAGATCCAGCCCCAGAGTCTCTAGTGCAGAGAATAGTCAATGGACAGAGAATAGTCAATGGAGGAAGAGACGTATGCTCAATGAAGGGATGGAAATCTGTCACAAAGAGGATAGTAGGAGGTGGTCTTGAAAAGAAAGTTAGGGCTCTGGCTATACATGCCTGTAAGCTAGAGCTCCCTGAAAGATGCAAGGGATAGAGCCAAGGAAGCAGGAGAAAGGAAAAGTGCAGTAAAGATGCCCATCATCAAGTCTACCAGGCTGAAACCTAGCTCAGCACAAGGGGAATAGCAACCACCATTCTGTGAGCCCACCTAAAGGCTAAACTGGCAAAGCCCTTCCTCCTTGAGAGGAAATAGGATGTCCCCACGGCAGACTGTGCATCAGAGGAAGGCTTCTTACCCAGTGAGACCAGGTTTCTGTAGTTCTCCAGCATCACATTCCGGTAAAGGGTCCTCTGAGCAAGGTCCAGGTACAACCACTCCTCCTGGCTGAAGAGCACAGCTACATCCCTAAATGTCACTGACTCCTGTAACAAATAGCAAAACTGCTTCACAAGACTTCTTTAAAGTATTCAAGAGCAAAGATGTCAGTTTGAGGACTAAGGTGCATCTGCCCCAAGCCATGGTATTTTCAATAACCTCATATATATGTGAAAGTTGGACAGTGAATAAGGAAGACTGTAAAAGAATTGATGCGTTTGAATTGTGGTGTTAGAGGAGGACATTAAAAGTACCATGGACTGCCAAAAAACAAACAAATCTGTTTTGGAAGAAGTACAATCATAATGTTCCATGGAAACCAGGATGGCCCAACTTCATCTCTCATACTTTGGACACATTATCATGAGGGGATCAGTCTCTGGAGAAAGATATCACATTTGGTAAAGAGGAGGGTCGGAGAAAAAGAGGAAGACCCCAACGAGATGGAGTAGCACAATGGCAGCAGCAATGGCCTCAAATGTAACAAAGATTATGAGGTTGACACAGTACTAGGCAGTGTTTTGTTCTGTTGTGCATAGGGTCACTGTGAGTCAGTACTGACTCGATTCCACCCAATAACAACCTGCAACACAAAACCCAATTTTGTTTATCAATGACTATCTTCTTCTTCAAATGTCACAGAAAGGTGATATCAGGATGTGCAGCAAACAAATCTGAAAATTTCTCAGGATGTAAGTATTAAAATAAAAAATTGTGGGTTTTATTTTAAAGAACACCCATCAAATATTTATTGAGCACCCTTGGAAGCACAGACATATGCCTGGTGCTGTGGGGGCAGAAAAAAATGGTATAGTCCCTGCCAACAAGGAATTTAAGTTCTAACCTGGGATTTTTCAAGTGACTGAGTATATATATTTGCCTCAACTCTTCCACTCAAAACCCAAATCACGGTTTCCGGTTTTGGCGGGCAGCAGAGACAGCCAGGTAGGAAAGGCTCCATGGGGGAGGGATTGAAAACTCATAGAAGCTATGCTCACAGAACAACACCAGATCTCTGGATCTACCATAAGGTCCAGGACGTCAGTTTCCCGCACTCACAAGTGAAAAATTCATGATATAGAGGAAAATATTTCGAGTTAAGAATCTCTGGACACAGGACGCCCTCTGCAGCCACCCCGCGTGGGCAGAGTTCAGAGGGCAGGGCTACAGCCACACGGCACAGGGAACCTGTGCTAAAAGCGGTGCAGAGACATTTGCAAAAAGTGGTGTGGGAGATTCTACACATTTTCTCCTCCTCTTCCCTGTCGCACCTTCTTTGCCCAGCCCAGATGCCTTCAGGCGAGTGGGTGCGCACCCCCCACCCCCCAAAAAATAAGTCCAGCGCTGACCCCACAGTTTTCCCACAGTACAGAGAGAAGGAGCTTGGTGGCTAGTTATGACATCAGCGTTGGGGTCGCAGCCCTAAAGTTGACGTGTGCGGGATCCTTGGTGGCTGTGTGCCATGAAGTCGGTTCCAGCTCATGGTGACCCTGTGCGGGGTTTCTGAGACTGTGGGTCTTTGTGGGAGCAAAGCGCCTTGTCATTCTCCTGCAGAACAGCTGGTGGTTTTGAGCTACTGACCTTGTGGTTTACAGACTGATTCGTGACCACTGCACTACTGGAGATCCTTGTGCAGGACCCTTACCCAGGCCTATATAGCAAGAGAAAAGCAAGCACATCAGGCCTGAAAGACAAACCACAGAACATTCTTTAAAACCCCAACATAAAAGGATGCAACTACCTCAAGAATTATGCTGTGCACATGCAGATATCTAAGCTACCTTCAGAGACAAAAATAGTGGATAATCTTTCTCCCATTAACTTCTCAATATCTATCTGCGCACCTCTACAGTGGTGACTAGAAGTGGGGCCTGAGAGGGCAGACACCCCCACCCACTGCTGGAGGCTTCTACCATGCACACACACTGCCTGTGGACATTTGGCCACAGTTTTATTTTTGCTTCAAAGTGGTGGGTTTTGTCTCTGCTTTTATATTGCTTCTGCTATTGGTCCTTTTGATCACACATCTTTCCTGGAGGGGTGAGCTTTTTCTCCCTATGTTACCCGACAAGAGACAACAATTATGGCCATGTAGCTAAGCTACAAGAATACCCCATAATATTCCACCATTGAGACAAAAGCCAATAACTGCTGCTAAGGGAAAAGGGAAGCCTATCTCCTGATCATATCCACCAGGAGACACCCAGTAAGCTTAATAAAACAACAAAAAACATCCAATGAAGGATAAAAAAACACACACATAACTACTGGAAATGAGAAACAAAAGATCTCAAACACAACAAACGATCTCAAAACATGTCCAAAAACAGAAAAGAGTACCTGACACAAATGCGCTGGAGATAGACAAAGGCTCCCCATAAGAGGAAGAGCAGGTTTTGGATTTGCCTGTGAAAAAATTCAGAAGAATGATATGGAAACAAATTCAAATGCTCCAAAAAGGAGCGGCAAAAACAAGGAAGAAGTCAGCAAAGTACTACAAGAGGAATCAAACAAGATTGATACAACAATGGAAACAGTTCAAAACCTGCAAAAAGAGGTCCAGATGATTAATAATAAAATATCAGCAATGGACAATACACTGAAAGGGGAAATGAGCAGAATAGAAGAGATGGAAGCCAGAACTAGCAATCTGGAAGACAAATCTCCCAATACTGCTAAGATAGAAGAGCAAGCTGAAAAAAAGGATTAAAAACAAATCTGAAGAGACTCTAAGATTCATGCTGGATAACATGAAGAGGAACAACTTAAGAATTATTGGCATTTCAGAACAGGAAGAGTCAGAGAAGATAAACATTCAAGAAGCTGAACATACCCCAGGAAGGATAGGCCTCAAAAGAAAGTCACCAAGACATATAATAATCAAGCTCTCCAAAATCAAAGACAAGGAGAGAATTCTAAAAGAAGCCAGGGAAAAGAGACGTGTCACTTACAAAGACAAGCAAATCAGATTAAGCTCTGACTATTCAGCACAAACATGCAGGCAAAAAGGCAATGGGGAGACATATATAAAACCCTACAAGAAAAAAAACTGCCAAGCAAGAATCGTTTATCCAGCAAAACTATCAATCAAATATGATGGTACAATCAAAACATTCCAGGATAAACAGAATCTAAGAGGTTTTATCCAAACCAATCCAGCACTTCAAAACATCCTAAAGGGAGTTCTTTGGACTGGCGACCAACAAGAACAGACAACAACCAGAGATTGACAAGTGTGGCAACACCACCTAGTACTCAGTCAATAGATAGCAGAGTCCAGAACAGAACACACCTACAACAACAAATTCAAAGGAGCTGGGAAGTCAACTAAAGATCAAAATAATATCAGTGTCAAAGAAGGGATAAATGTAGGAACAGAGATCTAGGTGGTGTGGATGTCAGGTAGATTACAGGATACAACAGATTATTTTAAATGGAGAGAAAAGTTAATAGACTATAAGGTAACCCCAAAGAAAGTTAACGCTTCACAACTTACCATGAAAATGAACTTCGAAACAGAACAGCAAACATGAAAACCAAGAAGAAACAGACAAAAAATAGCACACACACAAAAAAACAAACTCAGCACAAGAAGGCATACAGAACAAAGCAATGAACAGCACTACCAAAAAATTAATATAATGGCACCAATTAATTCATACCTATCAATAGTTACATTGAATGTCAATGACTGAATGCATCAGTGAACAGACAGAGAGTGGCAGATTGGATAAGAAAACAAGACCTTTCAATATGCTGCCTGCAAGTGATATACCTTACATGCAAAGATAAAAACAGACTAAAAATTAAAGGATGGAAAAAAATATACCAAGCTAACTGTAACAATAAACAAGGAGGAGTGGCAATTCTAGTCTCTGATAAAGTAAACTTTAAGATAAAAACCAGCATAAGAGATAAAGAAGGACACTATCTCATGATCAAAGGATCAATTGAGCAAGACGACATAACTATATATAATAAATATCTACACTCCCAATGAAAAAGCACCAAGATATATGA